TGAGGACTTTCTTTCTTGTAGATAAAAGGGGTATAGTAATTATGGGGTCATATTTGTAAACACAAACCCTAAAGTATCATGCCTTGCTTCGGCTCTTTCCTTCCCTTCCCCCCCCCCCCCCCCCACACGCACACACACACGAAAATAGGTATCTGCCGAATCTCACTTTGCTGACGACCTTGGATTGGACAGCCTGGATACAGTCGAAGTTGTCATGGCAATAGAAGAAGACTTTTCAATCGAAATTCCCGACAAAGATGCTGATAATATTCGATCCGTCAGAGACGCCGTGAAATATATTGCTCATCGCACTGATGCCGTTTAATAGTCTCGGAACAATTTGGGTGAGAAGATTTAGAAGACTGAGCGTGTAGGAGCGCTTCTTGCGATTAGTGAGTAAGACGACTTTTGTTTATGACGTAAAGAGAATGAGAGAGGGAAGGCACGATTCGAATATAGAGATGCTGGAGTTGATGTTGTAATGAGAATAAACTTTTTTGCAAAAGAGTTTATTGTTCAATTTAACAATTCTTCTATAACAACTTTTATTGAATGTAATGGCAGTTAGAAACTGTCGTCTATGGAAGAAATCGTTTGTCTCACACGGTTCCTGGAATAATTCGAGCTGTACACGAACATGTGAGATCAACGTGGCGATTTAATACAGACAAGCTATTTTCTCTGGAGGTCTAGAATTTATACTTGCTTAAAGTTTATTCATTAATTGCATAACAGAAGCGCTTCTAAAACACGATGCTTGACTTTTTTTTTTCTGTAATTAAAATCATCTTCGACAACCCGAAGGAGCGAATGAGTTGAATGGTTTCATAGGCGGGAAAGGAACATGTTTTTTATTCGAGATTTGATAACGCAACTTTGCTGTTATCGTTATGGTGATTGTATTAGAACAGACAATTAAGCGTTGTCCAGTCCAAATTCTGGAGCTTAATCGGTTTTGGTTTGCATCAGCTTGATAAAGAGTTAATTGTTTAAATCTGCAACCGTAACATGTTTTTAAGCGTCCGACGAACTTATAAAATAACGCGTCCCGCTTCGTTTTTACCAAAATCTTTTGACAAAACTATTCTATAATGATTTTTGGGGGGTTGTTGATCGGATTTGCTTTGATACTTTGGAATGTATATTAACTTGTCTATACATCGAAAGTTCGTGATAATATAAACGGCTCAATGGGCGCAATTTTTTGCTTAATATTAAAACTTTGTGAGACGTCCATTGGCTATAAATTTGTTGTGATGTACCAGCAAGTCTGTCCTGAGTAATTTTTTCTATTAACATCGTTGTTCAAAATATAAATTGTCTGTTGTAACAAAGCCTCGTCAAACGCAGACTTTAAAGATTCAAGAGTTGTTTACTTTCTTAGATCAATTACAAATAGTGTCCTAATATTGAAAATTCTGGCAGCCCGAAATATCATCGATGACTTTAAAGCCAATAGAATTATTTATATACAAGTATGGATCCACTCGCTCAAAATGAGATTATTGCGGTTATACTCCATTGAACATAATTAATCAGTTCCGATTAACCACAACATAATTCAAGTCCAATGATACTAAGTGAAGATATGTAAATACGCATTTCAATTGCATATGAACGGTACAGAGAAATCTAACGAGCGGACTACATTTAAGCATACGCACGGAGAAACATTACTATTGTTAAAGAAATAACATTAGTATGGATTACGCTGACCAGGGCAGCGACTGATGCATGTGAGACAATATTACTGAATATTCAACACTGAATTGATGTATGTAATAATTAACCTACGTGTTAAGAGAGTGTTAAATTCTAATTATTAGGCAATTTACTATACCAGAGGATAATGTTCTCCAGAATTACTTGCAATCCGTTGTCGATAGCAAATACTGTACTCATTTGCATACGGAATCAATAATATAGGAACATAGTGAGGAGAGTAGAAAGAATATGACGTGCATACAAAGTATAACTACTCGCTGCTCGAACGTTGAAAGCCCACATCACTCTGAAGGAATTCGATAGGGAAAATTCGTCTAGACAAGGATTGATGTAAATATCGAGAGCTAGCGAATCATATATTAACTACAGCCACCGCCAAAGTGATGGCGAGCTAACCGCATCATCACAACTACTTGCAATGTTTGTATGTGTTACATATTATATCTTGCATATGTTGTGTCCGAATTTGGGATCTGCCACAGTCTAATATAAATTTGATATCATTCAATCTATTTATATAACATACAGTTTGGAAGAGTTAAGTTCGACAGATTAATAATAATAATTATAAATATTACTCATAATACCATAGCAATAGCACATTGTTTGCTTTAAATGGGTTATTGTATCTTCATATGATCCTTCTAGCTATTCTGGATCAATAATATACAGGCTAATGGCCAATTGTCCCATCCGAAAAACTGGAAATCAAAGTTTAGCAAAATTAGAGGGCAAGATTTTTCAGTATAACGCACTATGCATCTTTGACAATGACATCTCAATATCATACCTCGGGTCACTAAGATTGTTCGTGTTCAAAGTACAACTGAAGAATGATACCATTAAAAAAAAGATTATTCAATCTTAATGGAGCTCATGCATCTGGCCGAGCCACCGCAAAATATCAAGGTTCATCATATGTACTCTCTGCCCTACGAGTCACACTTGGGAAAAGTATTCTTCGTTGTCAGTGCGTGCTTGATCCCGATCCCTACTTGCGATGAGCGGATAAGATTTCGGTATTTGGGAGAAGCATCCCGTTAGAATGAGATTTAATATTACAGTATTAATATTATTGATAATAATAAACTTAAAACTACATAATTTATGTGATAACGTCGAAAAAATATGTGACAATCTTGAAACGGGTTGACCCGTTTTCAGAACGGATCGTAACATTAACATTAATTAATATATTAATATTTTTGTGATTAGTTTTTCTAAACTTTCCGAGATTGTACCCAAATGCTTATCTCCATATAATGTAAAATTATTCTTTTTGTTCAACCCGTTGTATTGATTGGATTGGTACTTTCAAGACGGTGATCTCCGAGAACAGAACTCTTGAATAGAAACAACAACCCAGAAATTTATTTGAAGTTTTTATTTGGTTCGTATGACATCACGGATAACTGATATCACATTACAAAAGAATAAAGAAAGAAAAGAGGCGAACAGAATTGTCCATAGCATAGAATGTTATTGGTGGCTTGTGTGGTGGTGTATTAGCTAGGTGGTAGGGTGAGGAATATTTAGATATTACAGTTGTTCAATACCATTGCCCACTGCTTCCGGCTGGATCGTCTTTTCTAACTCGAAAAGTATTCATGTAATTCGGTGGCTGGTTCTTTGCTACATTACGAAGCCTGCGTGATACGACAAATTATTAGGTCACCATACCAGAGACATTACGATACCCAAACCAAAATTTCCCCACTATTACCCCATTTTCTCTCTTTATTGCTCATCTCTACCCTACTTACCCTCTCTCTCCTCCAAGAACCCTTTGCTGCTCCATTACAGCCTCTTGAGTTGATGTCTTTCTTCTTGTACCCGGCGCCACTCGAGATGCACCTGCACCTGTAGCAGAGATCCCGGATGGGCGACCGGCAGCAATGGGGGCGGATTGGATCGGTTGTTTTGCTGCACGACGAAGTGTAGATGATGAAGTAGGATCATTGACTAGCTGACCTGACGGTTGCCGAGAGGATACGACACGTTTCTTGGCGTCTTCTTCGGCGTGTTCGTTAGGGTCAGTGTCGATAGGTATTTGATTGCCTTTGCCATCTTTTTCCTAATAAAAAACAAGTACAGATAACGGGTCAATAAACTCGAAAAACGCGCTTGCCTCTTCCATATCATCTTTCTCCACAAAACCACTCACATATTTAAAGATCGTCCAATCAAATACATAGTCATACTGGTATCCCTCTCGCACAAACAAATCCCTGAAAAGCTTTCTCAAATAACTATAATCGGGTTTATCATCAAAACGAAGTGACCGAGTGTAATTCAAGTAAATAGCGAATTCGTTCGGGAATCCGCGGCACAAAAGTTCTGTGGGTGTAGTCATCTTCTTTTCCATGATACGATCATATTTTTGTTTCTTGGTGGCTGCTCTGAGTCCCTGCCACGGAAGTGAGCCCCGACAGAAGTACATCATAACATAACCAAGCGATTCGAGATCATCACGGCGAGATTGTTCTTTTGGTTAGAGTGTAATGGGAGAAATCACGGCGTAGTAAAAAGTGGTAATTGTTTAATACGTTGAAAAAATAATAATCAAACGATGGCATATGTGTATAAATCCCCAATTCAACCTACCAACTCCCAAATGGGTATTAATACTAGCATATCTAGCTGTTCCAGTAAGATTCTTATTTTCTCTATAAGGAATGTGCAAATGCGTCTTTGGATCTCGGTACTTCTTCGCTAGACCGAAGTCAATGACATTTACTTGATTGCCTCTTTTGCCAATCCCCATGAGAAAGTTATCGGGTTTAATATCACGATGGATAAAATTTTTAGAGTGGATATATTCGATACGAGAAATCTAAAGTATTGTAAGAGTAAAAAAAGTTTGGTTACTTTTCGCGCGAGTTTGTGAATTTGGGTTTGAATATGTGATTTGCGTTATAATTCTTATAGATTTTTGTCGTCACGAGTTGTTCAACGATCATAACATGTTGTTCTAGTCCTTTGACTTCCGACCATCTACTTTACTATAATACTGGTTTATTGTCGTCTTAAACCTGTTTTCTGGCTCTACCTTCTCACTCTTGCCCCAAACTTACCAATTGATCAGCCAATAACAACACTGTCTTTAGTGTAAATTTGCGATTACAGAAATTAAACAAATCTTCCAATGATGGTCCGAGCAAATCGATTACCATCGCATTATAATCACACTCGACTCCGAACCAGCGGACGAACGGAATTCCAACCCCACCAGCAAGAGTCTTGTAGACCTTGGCTTCATATTCGAGCTGTGGATGTTTGGCTTTAATTGATTCTAGTTTGATGGCTACTTCTTCACCGTTAATAATGTTCGTGCCTATGATAACGAGACCGGGAAAAAGGCCGATAGATTAGAACAAAGATAAGAGTGAAACAGAGATTGGACAATTAGTAAAATATCTGGTATACGCAATGTTTTTTATGGACGGCAAAGAAATATTAAGGAATGGAGAAACGATAAAGCGATAATAACACCCAATGAACATGAACAGAACGATAAACGTTGTTTTCGTTAAAGAAACGATTGCGATTGCAGATGGATTAAGCTATTAGAGTGTCAACGTTTACTGGGACGTGATATGTACGCCTTATATGAATGTATTACGGACGGATGTTCGTCTACTGTTGATGCTTGTTTCGATATGCCTGATTATGCTCACTCATTTTTCGATAGCAAACCATTAGAAAAACCTATCATACTCGTATGGCAAACATTATGACAGACGGTGGCATTCCCTCCTATAGCCAGGAGCCCATTCCAGTAGTGTAGATGCAACGCGACAAGTATCCCACCATCTACATTCAAGAAACAACATAGCCACAGAATACTTTGCCATATACAAACACTAATCCCATCGTCTTTGCCAGAAGCCACACATGTTACAGCCTCCGCTCATTCAGTGTCTCGCTCTCTTTTCATATTCTGTGACTAATACTTTATTATTTTCGGAAAACCTTGGCACTCACCAAGATAAATATCTCCAAAGGAGCCTGAACCGATCTTTCTTCCTATCCGATATTTATTCCCTACTCTCAAGTCCAAAGCCATCTCTTCAAAGAATATTAGTGTGTTATAGAATACAAAGATGGGCAGTAATAATATTTGGGCTTTCTATAGAACTCGAGGCAGAAGGGCAAGAGTTGTTATGGTGCGTTTGAGGGGGGCTTGTTCTGTATGAGGAAAGGACTTGTTGGATGCCACGGCCCCTTATTTCTCTTATTTGTTTTGATGGCGCAGTAATTTGAGGTAATTAGTCAGTTTGGTAAAGTGGCCAATCGAATAAGATAATAAGCGTCATGGAGGTGCCATGGAGGGGGGGGAGAGGGCGATTGTGAAATGAGTGGGCGGACAGTGTGGCGGAAATGCAGATTATGAGTGGGAAATGAATATGACTGCGTGGAAAAATGGAGAGCGTGGAAGATGTGTGTATGCGAGGGAATATAAAATTAATAAAACTTGGAAAATTTTGTTCTCGTCGTCATGTCTGCATATTATTAATATTGACAGAAAGTAACTCTAAACTAAGTATATAGAGGACAAAACTAACTTTCGCTTAAAAAGGCCGTACTAATTATAATTTCATTGTATTTCTTTATATTTTCTGGGCGCAATGGGAATTTTTATTGTTGGAACCAATACAAGACAGTTTGCGTCTTACTTCTGATACAGGGTGCAAGAGGTGATACATCTGCCGCCTGCCTATCGATTTCTGCGATCAGCTGACTATCACGCATAAAACCGCGGAACAACGACGCGCGATAACTGATAAAGAACGGTAAATAGCCCACAAAAGCTTTAAATAGAGTAGATTATATATGTGTTGCAGGAAGCTGCATGTTTTCAGAAGTAAATTTATGGTTGTTATTCATTGGTCCGTCTGTCGATATAACTGGTCAACCGCTCGTCAATTCAAACAATCTTTTTCATTACAATTCTCATCATTAACCCACACTTTCCGAAGTTTGTGATCACTATTTTTATCTTTTATTCGTCAGACTTGCATCTCATGCTGACACTAGCACCATTTATGGGTATCTGTGGGCCATTACGATGAGGGTGTACACCCCGACTTAATAATGGGGACGAAAGTCAGGTGGTTGTCCTAGAATATATTTTTGGCAACAAAGTTTTTTTCCTTTCCCGAGGTTACCACGTTAAACTTGGTACCCGTCTAATCGCTAGTATTCTAACCGAAACAAAAACGAAGAGTTATTTACTGGACAAGTTGCTTTTGTCGGTGTGAGCATTCCTTGCAATAGACGTAGGTGTGTGGCTGCCTGAATGGTTCTGGACGGTGAAATGTGAAGAGGGGAGTTTATTGCCTGTGTATAAGCTGTCAAAAGAATTTAGAGAAAGTTGTTATATGTTATAATTGAATAGTATTGGGATATATATTATTATCATTAGAAAGTGTGAAGGATGACCTCAAGATGCAAAGCCTTCAATGGCGTCAGCTGAACTGTTCATAACAGCGATGACATGCTTGTCACAATCTTCAGATGCGATTGACTCCCACTTAGTCTAAGGCAAGGCTTTGAGTTCAACGTCGTCGTTTATTGATAATAATCTAGATGACCTAGCTATACGTAATTAGCTTTATTATAAATAAACAGATATAGTTACTCCGTATGTACAATTGGGAAGGTGTCTATTCCTGCAAAGTGTTTCCTCCGATATACCCCGGGAACGTGCAATGAATATTTAAAGCAATATCTCTTATACTATCTTTTTGCTGCATCTTTTATATTAATATCGAAAGCTCTTTTGAGCACTACATAACAAGATACGACGGCTTTGAAATGTAAAGTTTTTCGAAAAGGATTCTCCTGTCGAAGACAAAAACCTTGGTTTTCTTCAAAGTTACCAATTGCAGTCAGCGTAAACGATGACGTATTTCTCCGTGATTACAAACATTACGTGTCAGCGACACTTATGATTACTAGATAATTTCCGTGAAAGTTGGATGACTTGACTTCAACGTATGTGGGCGCTCGACGTTTAACAGTTAATAAAAGTCTAATATCATTCAATGATGACCATTACTCTTGACATCGGCCTTTGTTACTGACATTGTTGGAGTGTATTCTACAGTGAAAATGTGTCTTACTTATTGTTGCTCAATAGCTTATCTTAAACCATTCTGTCCATTATTTTATTCAATCTTGACGGCATGCTTCGAATCAAATTAACATAAGTGCTTTTCCAAGCTCTTCCCAAAAACTTTTCTTAATATCACATACTTAGAAGAGGGCAAAATAAAAGTTAATTTATGTAAAGTGTAGGCATCTTGAATATTATTTTGCCCACAGAGTGGTTATAATCTTGCGACGTCAGTCAATCAAAACTTTGTCGTTGTATTTTTAATAACAGCACAGCGTAAACAATATAAGACAAATGACACAAGTAAAGTTATGTGACCGAGTTTTTTTGTCGGTGTTACATACATAGGAATAGAACGCACAAAACGTATTAGTTGACTGTTTTGATTAGGCGCGTATTTTGGAAGGAAATAAAGTTTATGCATTTTATTCCAAAAACTTTTTTCGCGCAATGTATCATTGGAGCCTTTATGGTCGGCGTAATCTTTCCTTACTCGGACGGATTTGCCTTAGGTATTGCCGAGAGAGTTGTATGCTCGTAGTCAAAGCTTCAGAAAGCACAGGCTCCATATGAGATTGCATGTTTCATGCGCGTAGGCTCCATATGATATTGCATGTTTCATGCGCGTAGGCGCCGTATGAGATTGCATGTTTCATGCGCGTAGGCTCCATTTGAGATTGCATGCGCGTAGGCTCCATATGATATTACATGTTTCATGCGCGTAGGCTCCGTATGAGATTACATGTTTCATGCGCGTTTTCGGTTCCGCCATTCAGCCATAAACATATTTAAAGACATTATTCCCCAAATTCTTTAACTATTGCAATATTTTGCTTATTTAAAAATCAAAATCATTCAAAATTGTAAACACATAAACTCTCTCCTCAATGCTAACACCGCCGCCCCACCACCAAAAAAGGGTTCAAGCAAAGGAGGTTCTCAGCTCCTCAACCTACAAACACTCGTCAGCTCCCCCTACGAACTTAAGACTTTATTGGAACGGGCATGGTCTCAGAAATTGTGGTTACCCATTGTGACCGACTCTGCCGTGACATCCACTCCCCCCATATAGGAAAAGACGCTAATGAGCACGAGGACAAGAGACTTCAAAAATTATGCGTATGTGGTGAACGCAAATTCGTGCGAATTGCTGTGCGTATTGTAGTACACATAGCAAAGCGCCTGCGATTGATGAAGCATTAACTGCTAAGTATGATTATTATTTTTCGATTTTTTTTTGTTTCGATTTATTTTATTTTATTTTATTTAACTAATTCTAGGACATAAACACAAAAAAGACAAACCAACTCCATCCAGAACATACCACTCAGAACTTATTTCCACCCACAACGCACACACACCTTCCGCTCGCTCTTACGTACAATACAAATGATTAGACATCGTCGCCTTTATTTATTTTTAGGTAACGTGCGCCGCTTTCTGCATACCGTCATAAGCCTTCTGGTCGACAAACGCGATTTGTGGCCTCTTCATTTCGAAAAAAAAGGCATAAGAATAAGTGGCCTGTTCCTCACAGAATAACGCCGATTGCAGTGTGCCAAAAACCCCCTCCGGAAATTTGTATACGTCACTAAACCGCGTTTAGCATGCCCAATTTGGAACCAATTTGCGATGAGTTTAATTCAAAATAAACACAATGACCTAGGGATCAATTTAAACTCTCTTTTTTTATTGCATCCATACATAACTTTTTGATACATTATTACACAATGTCGGCTACCAAGAAAGAATTACAACGTAAAACTTTATTATATCTGTGGAATGAGGGATTGTGCAATGCTCGCGAGCTACATGCAAATACTTTTCTAAATAGAGTAATACTGTATTTAGGTTTTGTGTGACAAAAAAATTCGTGTGAATAAGTCAGGTTCGTGGCAATAAAGTTCTAAATTATAAAAAAAAAAAAAAAAATAAGTCAGGTTCGTGTGAAAAATAAACAATTTCCAATTTAGTCGATGCCCCTATTTATTTAAGGCAATAATTTCGGGGCATTGAGCTGTTGAGAAGGCCCCCATACTAAGTGTGGTTAAAATCCGACAAGAATTTCTGCTACGTGTTGTTAAAATTTCCACAATTTTGCACTAGGATCTAGGCTGTGCCACACATGCCGATCGAATTCCTTGCACAAATACGTCACCAAAATTCGTCGTTTACGACATACCAAAATTCTCGAGGGATATCTAGATAAAGAAAAAATTACTTATGAAATTTACCAAGAAATAAAATTAGGGAAGAAATCAGGATGAGAATTTACCATTACAAAACAAAAGACTGAAATTTTTGGACAAAGCTAATAAGAATAGCTTTTTATTTATTTTGACCTTTCCTTTCACGTATTTTTTGAATAAGATTTTTGAAACCAATACTTATACTAATGTTCCGGCTTTTTTATGATTGAGCACAGACTCTTTCTTTTTTTTTCTTTTGAAACCGTATATAGTCTGACCTGGTTATAACGAATTCGACGGGACTAGAGAAAATATTCCCTATAACCAGAAATTCCTTAAATCAAGGTCACTTTTATAGCGAATATTATAATTATTTATAATTAGGTTCATTATATACAGATCGCTAGAAACCAATGTTTTTTATTAATGCTAAATTATCCTAACATATTGATCAACTTTAGTTAAATTTATATCCGACGCCTATAACAAACTTATAGAGGGATAATGTTGTATCTATTTCTAATTATTAAGGTTGAAATCGAAGTACTGCTCCAACTGCGTCTGTACTTTTTTAGACATAATATGATTGAGAATATTATTTTCAATACTGTTAAGCTATGTGGCATTATAGATTTCGGTTACACCAACGTTTATAATGAATTTATGGTTTATAATGAAGATAGCCAATTAGTGGCACATGACAAATCTTTGTTATAAAAGCATTATTACATAGTCAACCTCGTTAATCCGAACCTCGTT